TTGGGGAGGTGGGGGTGGGGGTAAGACGAACCACTGACGATTTGAAGCGGACACCCGAGGTCAGAGGTCAGAGCGCGGGTACTCCACACGGGGGGAGGGGGCGAGGGAGCGAGAGGTGAAGAAGCGCGTGGCAGTCACCCAGGTCGGCAGGATGGCATGTCATACCCAGACCCAGACCCATACTCCTGATTTCCTTCGGCATCCTGGTTTGTAGAAGTAACTTCACTTAGAGCTCTAACTTTCATAAAAATGGTTGCGGCGGATTTTGCAGGATGACGCTTTCCCGGCATCAGCGGCGGCGGCAGTCGCGGCGGCGGTGGCGGCGGCGGAGGTGCACCCTGGCGGCGCAGCTACGGCGGCGGAGGTGCAGGAGCCGCCGCCGTCACCCGCGCGGGAACGGCGGGTATGTATCGGGTGATGGCCGTACTGCGCATATTGCACATCGACACAGGACACCCAGCAATTTTATTTCAATCTTTTTGAAAAGAATATTGACTTCCCCGCCCCCGCTTGTGTCTCCGATCTTAGGGTCGACAACCACCGAGGGACATCACTGTTTGTTTTTTTACTAACTCGTTTTTATTTTTAAAACTGTTCGCTCTTTTACTTCTGTTGACTTTCTTACTATTATACTAATTTCGCTTAAACCACCTTTGTTGTAGTTTGTAGTTTTTGTTTCAAGAAGGGTGGCAGGCATTAGACGAAAAGGCAGTGCCGCGGCTCCCGCCTGGGTGGGGCCCTGGTTGGCGTTACCGGGGTGGCCCCGCGAGCCATTGGATGCTCTGCTGCGACAACTTCCCCCCTCCTCCTTTTTTATTCTCTTATCTCTCTCTCTCTCTCTCTCTCTCTTGGCATGTTTTTCCTGATGCTAATCACAGTTCATTTCATCCACCTGAACCAAGTCGTCCCCGGGAGGTCACGATGACGCGCGCTTTGCGAGTGCGCCCTCCACCCCCATTCATCCTCGCATCTCTTCTCCTCGGTTTTTTTCCTTTTGCTGCCCGTCACCTTTTGAGGTGTGGAAAAAAGACTGACCTTTCAAGGTGGTACGTTTTTGCCCTCTGTCCTCGCTCCGAAACAGGAGCTAGCAGAGCAGCTACAACCGAAACCAAGCCCCTCAGCCAAGCTGGTTCTCGGAATCGCCGACTCCAACCCCTGGGCACAGCTCTTCCCCGACCCCGCGGCCGCCACGGCATTGCCTACTGTACGACACGGCTCCGCCGTACGGTACGATGGTCTTGCACATGAGTACGCGTGGCTGCACCCGCTGGACCGTTTGCTGGGCAAGATGGTGCTGGACGCGGAGCCAGTGGCGGAGCCACCGGTTGCCGTACCGCCGTACGTACGGAAGGTACGGAAAATACGATAATGAGTTAGTGCGTTCTACTTAATAACACCTCGGACACACATAGCCGACATATCTGCACTTCCTAGGGTCTGCACTGATAGCTTTATGAGCTGTAGTCAGCAGTGCGGGTAAGGTTTACGATTTGTCCGCCTTTGAATTGAACCCACATGGAAGGGGGGGATGGGGGGCCCCCCATCGATGCTGTCTGCAGTCCCTTCTCCGGAGGACTTGATCTCCCAACGAGTGGAGGGTTTGAACTGTTAAAGAGGGGTTGAAGGGGTTCAACGAAGATTGCAAGGAGGTAACAGGACTAGGCCAGTCAAGCCCAGAAGGAAAAGGTGTGTTTTTGTGGCATCACTTGGCAAAGCGATGACAACTTCCCGGCGTTGTCGTACGTTGTCGTACATCCCCTTTTCCCCCCCCACACACACACCTCCCCATGTGGTGCCAAACAGGTGCACGAGGAGAGGAGGAGCGCGGGTGGCGGCGGCGGCGGTGGCGGTGGCGGCGGCGGCGTCGGCGGCGGTGGCGTCGGCGGCGGTGGCGTCGGCGGCGGTGGCGGCGACGGCGCGGCCAACCCAAGCCGCGTCGTACACCTGCGAGTGTTCTCAGAAGCTCACTGTTGGGGCATGCTGAACTTCACCGCGGCGGCACCGCTGCGTGCCTGGTCCTTGCCGTCGGCGCCAGTGGCGGCGCAGCTGCCGGTGTACGGCACAAGTGCCGCGGGCGCTCGCCGCCGGCCCAACTACTACCACATGGTGCGATTCAGCCACGAGGCTGATTCACCTTTTTGGGACTTGTGGGTGGAGCTTGAAGGTGCCAGTAGTAACGGTGGCGCGGACGGCAGCGGGACTGACCCGTGGGTCGTTGTGGAGTTGTCAGTCACCTACCTGCCGCTCACGCGCGAGCTGAAGGCGGTCCGCGATGCGCTGCCCGACTGGGTTGCGCCCACGTGGATTGGTACGACATATCATTCGTCGTATACATTTTAGAGTAGCGTTCTGTGCGAGTGCGGAGCTGTTCGGGTTAGCTTAGCTGAGCTGTGCGTGTGCGGATGAGGTATATATATAATGGATAGGGCGATCCTAAGCTGCTGATATTCCTCCTTTAATTGAAAACCGATAAACACGTACTGCCCCCCATTTGTGCGCACTTTCGTTGGTACGTTCTCAGCTGGAATACTGGCACGTCATCTCGCGAATCCTCATTTTGTCCATAAGATAACAACTATTATATGCGATGCGGATACGAGGCCTAAGTGCAAAAACGAGGCCTAAGTGCAAAAACGAGGCATAAGCGCAAAAAGCTAAATGCGGGTCCGAGATATGCAGGTTTTCCCTGCTTATTCCAAGACCGTTTTACGGTGCCAAGTACGGTGAAATCAGATCAACCAGATCATCAGGTTAGGTGACGTTCAAACTGTGACTGAGGGCCAGCAAGGACATGAGGGCCAGCAAAGCAGGAACATGCGCGCGTGCTGCCGCCGCCGCTGCTGCTGCTGCTGCTGACATCGCACATTAGCTGCGCTGCTGTGGGTGGGTGTCACTGGGCGGTGCCACTGGCTTACTATGGCCCCAGTGTCGTCATGTTAGGGCGGCCGATGGGGGGCCCAGAGCCGAGCAGAGCCGAGGGAAGTGCGTTTTGCATTGATTGTCGATGTCGATCGATGCACAGCCTGCCTCCCTCAGGTCTGCGTGAGAGAGAGTTTACCAGGTTTTCCATGTTCCTGTTCGAGTGGCAAAGGTTCCCAACAGGGATTCCTAATGTAGGATATATGTAATTAGTTAGTTGATTAGACAGTTGGTTAGTGTGTATGATGTTTCCGATGGCGGTGTGGTTCGCTCCTGTTCTCAAGGTGAGCTGTGTTGTGTTGTTGTGGCGATGATATGCTGGCGTGTGCTTATGTGTGTATGTGTTATTTTCCCAGTGACATGTTCGATCTCGCAATTTGGCTGAGCCTGATTCACATGACCCTAAAATCAGCTGTCACCCTGTCTATGATCCTATGTAATCTGTGCATGTGTTCCTTCAACCCCGTTCCTTTCACGTTCTGTAACGTGCAAGAGCAGTTACATAACTCTCAATGCTTCTCTTCAACGGGGTTCACGTAGCTATTCTCAAGACCTTCCTTTTGCGACGTCGTACATTAGTGCGGGTCGTACACTGGATGGCTACATCTTCTCTGGTGTATCGCATCCGGTGTCTTTTGACACCACCATGACTGGTTGTGATAAGCCTTAACGTAACATTGGTATCGGGACGGTGAAATTTTTCTTTCTGGGATTATGCTTTTGCGGCCATTTCTTGCATTTTATCGTCGGCCCGCTTTAGCTACCGTTCTTCAAACTTCTTCGTCTCCATTATCTCCTCCTCGAATAATTACTGGAGCATCTACCGATCCGGCTGTCGCTGCTGTTATTTCGCCGCTGGCGGCCTTGGCGCTTGCACCGGCGTCGGCAGCCGCTACTCTCGATCAGCCATCTGGGTTCGCGGATTGCGGGCGTGCGGAGTCGCTGTTAAGGACTTCTTCTTTTATGAGCGGAAGTCGTCCACGTCCAAACTGTGACGTTCGTTGTCTTGTCCAGGGTTCTGACCCACCCGATGGCGGAGCTGATCTCGCGCCTACTGAACAAGACGTAGAGTTTTCGGTGTTGTCTGCGATGGCTTCTTTGGCTGTGCAGAATAATCGTGATTTGTGTGTCGCAGAACATGTTGTTTCTGGACCATCTGTGGCTGTGTCGGTTGAGCCGACGCCTGCGGGCGTGCCTCAGCGGCAAGCGCACAAGTCTTTGGCGACTATGACGAGTGCGCCTGTGAAGTTGTCAAACGCAAGTGATCGCGTTGTGAATCGTTCTCAGTCGGAACTGAACGCGGCTTTTAACGTACGTCTGGTTACAGAGTCTTCTCGCTATTGTAACACAAAGACGAACAGTTCGATGCCGGTTGCAGATGTCCCTCCGCCTCAGGAACTTTGCATTCGCAAGCACGAGTTTCAGCACTTGCAGCAGCTTTCGGGTCGTCACTTCACTTGGGATGCATGCGCATCTAACGATGGGTCTAATGCCTTGTGTCCGAAGTATAGTTCGCCTTCTCGCAGCTTTTTGCATGATAGCTGCGCAGGACATCACGTTTGGATGCATCCGCCTCTGGCGCGTATTCAAGATTTCCTGCGTCACTACCTGCGTTGCAAGTCGATTGCGCCATCGACCACGTCTGGAGGATTTTTGCTTCCTAAGTGGGTTACAGCACGTTGGCGTCCTCTGCTTGCAGGCATGAAAAAGCTTCATGAGTACCATGCGGGGTATCACCTGTTTTCCGTGTCGTCGGGAAAAGGTAAAATGTCTCGTGTGCAGGGAGTTTCCTCGCCGATGGAGTTCTGGTATGATGCTCCTGTCGAGTCTCCTTCCGAGTCGGCTGTTTGCGTTGCGACAACCGTCCCCTTTTCGGTGTCTCCCAGTTTGGCTATGCCGTTCGCAGGTTCTGTTTGCCAACAGGAGGCGACCATCTTGCTCGATTCGGGCAGTCAAGCCGCTCATTTACTCAGCGCAGGATTTGTACGGCGCGTGGGTTTGGTGGTTAAGCCGCCTGACGGTTCGACTGCAGCACCCAAGATCGTCGTGGGTAACGGACAGCCAGTTCCATTTGTAGGCTTTGCTGAAGTGCCTGTTCGTATACAGGGCTATAAGGCTCGCTTGCAGTGCGCTGTCGTTGAATTTAGTCCCGCGTTCGACCTTATTTTGGGTGAACCTTGGATTTCGGCTACTGGAGCTATTCTTGAGTTATGCAATAACGCTGCCCGTTTAACTCGTATCTCGGGTCGTCCTGTTTTGCGTAACGGTCCCTTTACGCCGATTCCTAAGCCATCTAGTTCTTCTCCTGAAGTTCTGGATGCAGTTGCGCATTGCTCACTTGCGCAGGCCATGGAGGAGAGTGACACGTTCTACCTATGTCTCGTCTCGGCTGCGGATCCTGTTCCGGATGCTGTCGTTTTGCCGGGGGAGGAGTCGTCACTTCCGCCATCGCATTCGTCTGTTTCCGCTTTCACGCAGAAGGTTAGTGACGTCGTGCGCGGCGAGTCACCTGCGGATTTGTGTCTTAAGGCTTTGTTGCTGGAAAAAGCGCATTTATTTCCAGACCAGTTGCCTGCTTCGTTACCTCCTGATCGTAATTTGCCGTCTGTTGTTCCGTTGGAGCCTGGTGCTCGTCCACCTGCTCAACGCATGTTTCGCTATTCGCTCCCTGAGCAAGAGGAAATGCAAAGGCAAATTTCGGATCTTTTGGAGAAGGGATTTATTGAACCTTCGTGTTCGCCCTTTGGTGCGCCTGTCTTGTTCGTTAAGAAGAAGGATGGCACTTTACGTATGTGTGTTGACTATCGCGCAGTCAACAGCCTCACAATCAAAAATCGTTTTCCGTTGCCTCGGATAGATGATTTGCTGGATCGTTTGCGAGGTGCGACAGTTTTCAGCTCACTCGATTTAACGCAGGGTTATCACCAGTTACAGTTGAATCCTAGCGATGTGGAGCGTACCGCGTTTCGCACTCCTTTCGGGCATTATCAGTATAAAGTTATGCCTTTTGGCCTGACTAATGCTCCTGCTGTCTTCCAGTCTGCCATGAATCAAGCCTTGCAGGGTTTGCCGTTCGTGGTAGTGTACCTGGATGATATTCTGATCTTTTCGAAGACCGCCGATGAACACGTTGAGCATCTGCGTGCAGTGCTTGAACGTCTCGAACAGCGTCAGTTCTACTGCAAGCTGTCCAAGTGCGAGTTCTTCAAACCGTCCGTTTCGTTTTTGGGGCATATCGTATCGGCCGACGGTGTACGGCCCGATCCTCGGAAGACTGCTGTTGTCCAACAGTGGCCTGTGCCCAAGAATGTTTCGGAGCTTCGATCTTTCCTGGGTCTTGCTAATTACTTCAGGAAATTTATTCGTGCGTATGCGGCTTTGGTTAAACCGCTAACGGACTTGTTTTCTCCTAAGACTAAGTGGTTTTGGTCGGAGAAATGTGACGAGGCTCTCCTTCGTGTTAAGGAAGCGCTCACTCAGGCGCCAGTGCTTGCTTTGCCGGATCCTCGTGAACCTTTCGAGGTGATCGCGGATGCTAGCGACTTCGCATTGGGTGCAATTTTGCTCCAGCATGGAAGGCCAGTGGCTTTTGAGAGTCGTAAACTGATTCCTGCTGAGTTGAACTACATCGTCACTGAAAAAGAGCTCTTGGCCGTTGTGCATGCGCTCAAATTGTGGCGTTGTTACCTCGAAGGTGTGAAGTTCACTGTCGTTACAGATCACGAACCTAACACCGCCATGCGCCGTAAGTCCCTGTTGTCTCGACGTGTGGCGCGGTGGTCGGAATTTCTGGAGTCTTTCGATTTCGAATGGCAGTATCGCGCGGGTCGTTGCAATCCTGCAGATCCGTTGTCTCGGCTTCCGGGACACATCGACGTTGAAACGACGAAGGTTATGACGATTAGTGCTCAACGGTTGGGAGAAATTTCTGCCTTCCGTGACACCACCGTAGAGCTTAAGTGCTCTTTTCCTATGTTCGAGTCATCGGTACTTGATGGGTATGGTATCGATCCTTGGTTTAAAATATCAGAAAACACGGTTGCATTATCGCAACGTGGTCAATTCTGGTATCGAGGAGATGCTTTGGTTGTGCCAGATCATGCTGATTTGCGTACTACCGTTCTGCGTCTTTGTCATGACCATCCGTTGGCAGGCCATACGGGCGTGACCAAAACTCTTGATTTGGTGCGTCGTTCGTTTTGGTGGCCTAGGCTGCGTCAATCGGTCGCAGCGTACTGTCGTACATGTGACAGCTGTCAGAGGGTAAAGGCAGATACCAGTCTCCCTGGTGGTTTGCTTCTTCCGCTGCCCATTCCTGATCAGAAGTGGTCTTTCGTGACCATGGATTTTATTACTGATCTGCCTCCCGATCCTGATGGCAATACTTCGATCTATGTGTTTGTGGACAAACTCACCAAGATGGTTCGGTTTGTGCCCTGTAACGCCTCTGTTGACTCTGTCAAAGCGGCTGAAATCTTCGTCAACACCATTGTGTGTTCGTACGGTGTTCCGTCTGTCGTCATTTGCGACAGGGATCCTAAGTTCACCTCTGCCTTTTTCGAGTCGCTTTTTGATGGATATCAATTCGACTTGCGTCGCAGTTCTGGTTATCATCCTCAAACGGATGGCCAAACAGAACGTGCAAATCGTGTTCTGGAGGATATGTTGCGTCATTTCGTTTCTGGCGATCAATCCTCATGGTCCCGTTATCTGCCGATGGCTGAGTTCGCCATGAACAATTCGTTGCATGAATCTACGCGAACTACTCCTTTTCGGTTGATGTACGGATATGAACCCCTAACTCCGGCTTCTCACCTGATTCGCAAATTGGGGGAGGAGAGGGCCAAGACGCGCTTGCAAAGCGTGGCCAAACTGTCTAATCCGTTATCTGTTAAATTCAGTACGGATATGCAGAATGCTTTGGAACGAGCTAAGTCTTGCTTGGCTGCTGCTCGAGATCGGATGAAGAAATGGGCTGACAAAGGTCGCTCGGAACGAGGACTTTCTGTTGGTGATCGTGTACTCCTGAGTACGAAACATATGAGTATTAAAGGTGTGCGCAAATTGCTGCCTCGCTTTATCGGACCCTTTGTGGTTAAGGAAAAGATCAACGCGGTTGCGTATCGGTTGGATCTTCCTCCTGCGGTGCGGATACATGATGTATTTCATGTGTCACTCCTTCGTCCGTATCACGATGGTGGTCGCGTTCAGCTACCTCCGCCACCTCAGATTGTTGAGGGTGAATTGGAATTCGAAGTTGAGTCGATTCTGCTTCACAAAGAAGTGAAAGAAGGACGTCGACAAAAGCGTTTCTACCTAATGCGTTGGAAAGGTCAGGGCCCGGAATTTGATTCGTGGGAACCCGAAGCAAACCTAACTAACTGCGGCGATTTGTTGCGCGACTACTGGGCTCGTCAATCTGACTCTGTTCCAACCTCGAAGTCCCAAGATCAGGCGACACTTTCGGGTGACGCTGACGCTTCTGGCTCGAAGCCGCATCGAGCCCCTCAGACTACTCGTCACGGCCGTGTGATCAAAAAGCCTTCGCGCTTTAATGCTTTTCTCAACCACTTGTCTGTCACCAGCGGGGTTCCGGAATCCCTGCTTTTTCCTCTCGTGTGGCGGTGAAGCCAAGGTTGGCTGGCTGTCGGGACGACCAGCCATTTAGGGGGGGAATGATGTAACGTGCAAGAGCAGTTACATAACTCTCAATGCTTCTCTTCAACGGGGTTCACGTAGCTATTCTCAAGACCTTCCTTTTGCGACGTCGTACATTAGTGCGGGTCGTACACTGGATGGCTACATCTTCTCTGGTGTATCGCATCCGGTGTCTTTTGACACCACCATGACTGGTTGTGATAAGCCTTAACGTAACACGTTCCTGTCATATTTTGTAACGCAGCTGGATGGCTAAATCGCGATATCGCCGCAGATTGTTGATGTTGTTACAGGGTGGTTAAGCTTCACCAGTGGATTGTTGTTGGTAAGCGAGGAAGCAGCAATGCAGGCCCCTGCTGTAAACATAGCCATGCAGTCACTGCATGGCGATGTATACACAGCCATGCACACGGTGTGGGTGTGTGCTGGCGCCGACAACATGCATATATGTGCAGCAATGTTCATTTATGGACAACAACTACGACGGTTAACTGCACCCGCAGATGTGGTGATTCCCAAGGCACCCTCTGTTTACTCTCTGTCTGTCTGTCCTTATGTACATACGGCCCCAGACCAGCTGCTGCGGGCAGCAGCTGATGCTGACATACATACATCTGCACAGACGCATACATACATACATACATATATACATCTGCACAGATGCGTGGCTTCCCATTTACATAGAGGCCGAAATGCGGATGGATAGATAGGGAGCTCTGTGTAATGGCCCTCCTGCTGTAGTACTGTACACAAAAGCCAAACCGAACCGAGCACAAGGTATCATTACAGCCTACAGCGGTAAAGTAGTCAGTCCATCCGCTTGTGATGGGTGACCGATGTTAACCATCACACCACAGGCATCAAGAACAGTCGTGTAGGGCAGACAGGGTGCGTGCCGCTACGTAACCCCCTCTCAGTGGCTCATGTGATGTTGGTTGCCAGCTTGTTATTAGCAGCGCCGGCATATAAAGCCATGGTCCCCAGCCAAACGATACATACATGCAAACCCTGTCAGCCGTGTAATGAACACATATGTACTCAATCACCAGGTACAGCATACGTCCCACTACCAACACCACCATTACAACCAGCAACACAATGTTTGTTGCATCTGTCTGTCTGTCTGTCCGTCTCTTTGTTTTCCACATCAATATACATCCAACCACCCACATCTCTGTGGACGAGCGATCGATGTAAAGTACTGAATATCCTGAAAGTGTGAAATCTTCTTTACCTCATCCTTTTCCCAGGGATCATCGAGTTAACTACCGGCGAATGAGCGGCTGATCGATTTGAGGCGGCGCCCTCTTCCTCGTCCTCCTCCTGGACTAACTTTCATCAGTCGGGCGAGCGCCACCTTAGACAACTTTTTGCGACTACACATTTTGATTGCTCCTCTCTCACATACATAAAAACAGAGAAGAATTGCGGAATGAATAGTGGACAGATGCGTGGTTGCACACATGCAAACGTAAGCGCATCTGGTCACGAGCAACAGCAGCAGCAGGCATATTTTCCACCCCCATCCCCTCACCCCCGCTGGTGGACCGGACACCTCCCAGGAAGCCGCAGGGGTGCGGGGGGTGCGGGGGGGGGAGGCGGGGCGGGGTGGGGTGCTCCCATTACTGCTGGCTGGTTAGCTGCCGCATGCAAGTAGTACACACCCTCCTCCACAATCACCACCACGACCACAAAACCCTTAGTCATCCATGGACACAAAGGAGAGACATACATACATACACACAATTACCTGCACCCACTGCATGCAGTGGGTGCAGCCCGAATAGGAGTGCCTACTTAGGCAGGGTGATACACCAGACAGTATGGCTGGGCCGCCGCCAAGCAGCCCGCATGGACCTAGCGACCCGGCTATGTAGCTGCTACACTCGGTAAATGTGGATGTGTGTGGATGTGTGTGAATGTGTGTGGATGTGTGTGTCCACACATTCGACATACATAAGCACTGTGTGCATGTCTGCATGCAAACAGACAAACAGACGAACTGTCCAGCCAGTCGAGGAGCCTGCAGTGGTTGCGGCTGTGGCGGGGTGTGGTGAGTTCCATTTTCTTGGAGCACTCTCACAGATCCACTCAACCACCTACCTACCAACCACCTACCTACCAACCACCTACATAGCAGCCACCTACCTACCAACCACCTACATAGCAACCATCTACCTACCAACCACCTACCTACCAATCTACATACATATGTACGTATGATCCGAGCTAAAAGGAATACACCTCCACGGACACTGCCCCGAAAGCCAACTGCGCCAGCTGACAACCGGCGATGAGGTCTACTGCTGGCGCGCCACTACTCGCTGTACAGCATGTACACAGCAGTACATACGGACATACTGGATCCATGACCGGGGCTCTCAACCCCTAAGGGGCCTTGTCTACTCGTCTACTACATCTACAAAGGGGAAGACGCAGATACATATGTATGCATATGTATACAGCGAATACATACATACATACATCCATGCTGACAGACAGACAGACAGACAGACAGACAGAGAAGCCCAGCGCACAGCTGCACCGCAGCTCCGTCAAGCATGTGGGCTCACGTGATGACGTGATGGCCAGCAGGGCCCGGACACCTCCACATTGCACCACCCACTACATAAAAATTATTGATGTGTAATTCCAGGTGGCCGATGATGATGATGATGATGATGATGAGAATGATGATCCCACCACATCAACCTTTGCTGGCGCCAGCAGCATTCTAGGGCCCCCCCCCATACTACACACAGTCACAAAATCGATCAGCATCATGGTAATTAAAAGCACACAGACACGCACACAAAGCTCTATATCTTTTTTGCAGTTCAGCAGCATTTGGCTGAGGAGTAACTAACAACTGGATAGCAGTAATGAGCCAGCAGCAGTAGCAGCAGTAGCCACCACCAACAAAATACGGAACACCATAACATGCAGAACATACATACACACATGCACACAGGGCTGCACGCGGTGGACTCACCCACTCTCAGGGCCCCCGGACAGCGGCAGCGGCGGCAGCAGGAGCGCCGCTGGGTGTGATGGGAACGGAACGCACCCAACAGCACCGGCGCGCGCGAGAGAGAGAAAAAAATGGGGGGGCCCAGGGGGGGGGTGAGGGGAGGAAAGGGCCTCAGCAGAGAGCCCCCAGATAGCAGCACACAGCATTTTACCCCGAAGAACCAAACGCACCAGCACTACACCACTTGGCGCACTCTTTCACAACGCTTCCATCCATCCATGCAGTGGACACATACACAATACACATACACAGACATACAGACATGGTATTGAGTACTGTCCACAGGCCTTACTTACCCATCCGCCCCCAGCCACCCTAACTAAGCCGGCTGGTGGACAAAAAATTTGAGAACAGTCACTCCATCACTCATCATATACGACACCGTCCCTCACCATCACCTTTTCATCTCCATCTCCACCATCATTTCAAAATTTTCAGTCTCATCTCTTCAGTGTGATGGTGTGGGTCCGGTTCCCACATGCCAACTACCAACTACTCGATGGTAACGGTCGTCCGCTGCCCCTCCTGGGGACCTTCCTCATCAGGCGGGTGGTGACAGCTACCGCAAACTCAGGCGGTACTCGCGTCAGCGCACAACACGTCATGGGCACCTCCTCAAAGCCGTCCAGGTCACTTGGGTCGAGCTTCCAAGTCACCAGGCTCCAGTACTTCAGGAGCGAATACACGAAGGCCTCCGCGAGACCGATGTGGTCCATCAGCAACTGGGAGGTCGCGTGCATGTTCCGAACCATCTGGAAAGATTCCGAGTCGCCGGAAAGCTGCTGAACGTCGGAGATGACCTTCCGGGCCTTTTCGGGGAGGTCTTCCAGGTTGTTGTTGAATTGCTGGAAGGCCGTGCCTGGGGCGTACAGGTGCTCGAAGAACCCCGTTCGGTTGGAGGCCATTTTGAGTATGGGCGTGGCGTAGTGGATGAGGGAGTTGCCGAATCGGTCGCTCCAGCTGTGTCCATCCACATCGATGATCGCGCTGTACTGGTTGTAGTCTTCGGGTTCGATTAGTTTGCCTGGTTTGTAGAGCTTGCGGACTGAGTCGGGGAGCTCCTCCGTGAACATGGTGATCTTCGCGTCCAAGATGTCTGAGTGGTTCTGAGCTAGGAGGTGCAGCTTCAACCTGGTGACCTGATTTGGGGGGGGAATAGTGGTGGTGGTGGTGGGAAGGAGGGTTTGTGGTAGGGGCCGGGGTTGGGGGAGGAGGGGAGAGAGATTTCACGGAGGCCTAGAAGGAGCAGCGGCAGCATGAAGCAGTATAGTTATTGTTATTCTTATTCTTATTCTTATTATCATTATTATTACTACTACTATTATTATTACTATTATGATGGTGATGTCACACGGAATTGAGTTTTTTCACTAGTTTGATTGGATATGTTCAGCTGCAGCTGCAGTGATTTCGCGCCCAATACAGCGGATGGGGGATGCATGTGGCGTACATGTGCGGAAATGTGCGCCAAAGATGACGGGCACACTGCTTGTACAGAGGTAAAGACAGACAAACAGATAGACATACACATATACAACACGCAAGTAATGCTACCTGCTTGTGGTTTTCAAGGGTCGTCGTCACTCGTGCACCGGTCGTGCTGCCCCTCCACACCGCCATGGGTTTGCGGGTATGCGGTGGGTACCTGCTGCACGCACATACATACACACGTACGTACATACATACATAGTGTGTCGGTCTGTCTTATGCCCACCAAGAGCAGCAGCGGCAGCGCAAAGGGCGAAACCTTCCCGACGCCTGCTCGCCGGTGTAGACAGAGGACCTTTGGAATCTCCAGAAATGGGTCATATGTACGTACATACGTATATACATACACACATACATTATTGTGTGTGCATGTAAGAGCGAACAAATGAGCGTGAGCCAGTAAGGTCCGTTTCGGATAAGTTCGGTTAGTTTAGGTTCGGTTCAGTTAGGCTCAATCAGGTTCGGTTAAATTCAGTTAGTTCAGGAAATCGGATGTTAGGTATATACTGTATATCGCGCTCTGCGGATGCGCATCACTTACTACCACACCTGCAAAGGGGACCTTAGGGTTTAGGCGAGGACCTTCCTCGCAGCTGCGTGTGTTTGTGTGTGTTTGTGGTTTTTTTTTTTTGTGTGTGTGTGTGCGCGCGTACCTGTTCCAGATGCAGGAATGGTAGGTGGCCATCTGAACAGGGCCCAGTGACTGCGACCAAACCGAGAAGGATGGAAATGTGAATCCAGCCTTCGGGAACTGGCGACAGATGTTGGGCGCGATGAGGGGCAGTCCGCTGGCGCACTCGTCGTCCCACAACAATAGAAATTCCATATCCGGCATGGGGTACAAATAGAGAATGACGCTGAGCATCTCCTCCCATGCCAACCAATGCAGCTGCCTGGAGTGCGGAACGCGCGACCCGGCGCCTTCTTCGGTGTAAAGCCTGCCGTTCACAATTTTGTAATGGAGTAGCATGCAGTTCTCGCAGATGCCGTAGGACTTCGCTCGTTCAAAGTCAGCCCTGGAAATGTTGCCGTGCCACTGCCAGAATGCCCGCGGGATGCCGACGTTAATCATTGGCAAAGAGGTTTGTGGCCGGTAGCGTTCGGTGTAAGGCTCTGGAATGGATCGGCTGTACTCATAGCAAGATGACGTCGGCCGAGGCCCCTGCCCGTAATCAAATTTCAGTGCATAATATCCTCCCGGTACGTTGAAATCACTTTTCACATGCTCAACTTTTACGCTGGCAAACGACGCAGCCACAACCGAAAGGCCAAGGCTGGCGACAGCTAAGACAATTTGGAGTTCCTTGAGCAATTCTGTCAACATCCTTGCGGTAAACCTAAAACTGGCATTGGTATGAATACATAATACATGCGACCTCGAGCTAACCAACTGCTTTTGCAAATCGCCACATAAAGGTTCTGGGCGGTTAGTGAGGTACGGCTCGGATTCTGATTTTCGGACTCCAACAGACTGTCTTCTAAATGAACAGCCTAAAAGCTGGTGTTCATGTAAAATTCGTATCCCTTGTTATGTACTATGTTGTTCGCGGCTGTGTTCACTTCGACGGGAGTCGTCACTTTGGCAAAAGAGCTGATGGCCATTCAGACCTTCCGCACCGCGAGCCCTGTAGCAACCGGTTTCCGCCAGTTCGATGGACGACCTCCGCATAAACATTTACAGCAACAGTTTCATTTCGCAGGATTACGGCTTCTGAGGACATGCCATGGCAACTGCTCTTTCGGGATATTTCCTGCCTCCCACCAAGTCGATCATCCCGTCAATCCTCCATCAAGCGTTTACTTATTATTTCCATTATCAGTTTCCGACAGTGCCAAGGAAGGCCACTCAGGTCACGATTGGCCGGTCGGTCGATCGGTCTGTCACGCGCAAACGCCGCAGCTAGGTGCTAGAACCACCTATTGGGTTCCTATTTCCTTCCCTCCCGCCCCTTTTCTCTAATACGTGCACCTGTTCCTTCCCACCACACACGTATATGCACACGCTTTCTGAAGTATCAGCACCACTCCTCTTTCTGCCCTCCCCCACGTGCACCACTTTCCACCGTTTTGTTCCGTTAAAGCATAGTACGACAGGTACACACACACGCAGAATGATATCCACCGAGTAATATCTTCTCCCCTCTACCCCTCGCGACCCGCGTATGTGCATGCACGCTCGCCGCCCTCTCTTTCCCCGCCCCGCTCCCGTAAGCATGATCTGCCCGTCCGAAACATTTACACACACACAGCAGTGCCTCATGGCAGCGACCCCATCCCCATCTATCCTAGATCAGTCGTACAGTGTTGTGTCGTACCCAAGCGGTACGAACCAGGGTGACAGGTCGACACCGCGCTCCAGGAGAGCCCGGGTTTTGGGTGCCGTACCATCCAACATCTGACGTGTGGGTGGGGGACCGGGGGTTGAAGGATGGAGTGGGGGGGGAGTGGGGGGGGAGAGACGGGGTTATCCCAGGATGTGTGTGGAAGGGTCCTCTGGGCGCCAAGAACCTCACCTCACCCTTCACCTCACCTCACCTCACCTCACCTCACCTCACCTCACCCCACCCCCACCAAACCAGAGGAAGAAGGAAAAGGGGAAGGGGGAAAAGCGCGGGACAGGGCGATGGGGAGCTACTACTGACTGGCCTATTGTTTTTGCTCCGAAAAGTGAAATTGATTTCGCCGTTGGGTCCCTTGCTCGTCCCAACCGCCACTCGCATACATACACACATACATACATACACACATACATACACACATACATACATACACACATACATACATACACACGCACCTGCTGGTGCAGGTGGCCGTTACTCGCCAACATGGACCGCTCGAACACGGAGAAGGGCCGACCGTCCATGGTGGTGATGGTGGCCCCAGCCTCCTGTTGCGAGGGGGAGGGGGAGGGGGAGGGGGAGGGGGGATCACATCTTTGTGTACATGAAGGTAAATGGAGTTAGGTCTCCAAAACTCGATGTGTGAAACAGGGGGGTGTATCTTCGCCCGTGGCAGCTACCCTGCGAAACCCTGCCTTCCCCGGTATTTCGGGGCACCCTCATCCAGTCACCCTAGTCAACTTCTCAGTGGATCGCTCAGGTTCCGCACCCACCACCAGCATCCAACGGAATCTGCCGGGTCGACAGCGGCCCAACTCCGTCCCTGGTCGGCTCGCAGATTAACTTTATCCCAGGTCACCACCGTCCATCAACTAGGGGCGCAATGCCTTCCACCATCGGAAGGACTTTGACCCTAACGGGTATCGATCCCGGGATCTCCCGGGGGCAATAGTCGCGCCTTACCAGTGGTGCCAAACCCTATATATGTATGCATGCATGCATGTATGTACATATGTATGTATGTACGTATGTACATATGTATAAATTTGTATGTATGTATGTATGTGGTGGGGCGGAGCGGGAGTCGGAAAAGCAGGAGACGGATCCCACCCACCCACTCACCAGCAGGATTGAGCCCCGACAGCGTCGCCCTCTGCCTGCGCTCGCACGACCCCCGGCCCCAAACACATAACCCCTCCCCCTCCCCCTCCCCCACCCCCGCCCCCCTCCCCCTTCCCCCCTCTACACCTGCGCGATGATGACCCCAGCCGCCATGTCCCAGGGCTTCAGGCGGTACTCCCAATAACCGTCCACGACGCCTGATCGACCAGGAGAACGACAACAACGGTTACAACGGTAACAGCAGTAGCAGCAGTAACGATCGCAGCAGCAGTAAGCAACAACAGCAATGTTGAGAGGGAGGTTTGAACTCCCGCCTGCAGCGGTTTGTTGGTGGAGGGCATGGCCGGAGACACGCACATACATACATACATACATACACATACTCACAGTGCCGTACTGCATAGTGTATGTGTATGTGAACAAGGGTGGCTGACGTGTGTAACCTCGGCTTTCCCCCTCCCCACAACACACATACACACACATACACGAGCACGCGCACGCACATGCACACGCACATACACACATACACACACGCATATACACACATACACACACGCACATACACACGCACATACACACACACGCGGCCCTCCTCAAAAACAAGGCAACCCCCGGCGACCCCCCTCCACTCCACAATCCCCCTCACACACACGCTCACCCATAGAGAGATGACAAAGGTCAACCGCCGCCGCCCCCAGCCGCCGTACACCTTGACACACATCCGTAAACTCCCGGAAAAGCTCCATGTTCGCGGACCAGGCCTCGTCGTGCTCGTACCCGAAACCCGTCACCAACAGGGACCGCCGTACATCCGATACCTATGCCGTACACAATGGCGGCGGCGGGGGGGGGGAAGAGGGGAATTGGTCCGCGTGGGGGTCGGGGGGCCCGGGGGGGAACTCATTGTGCGCGGGGGGGAGGCAATCCTATGTGGACGTGCAAACACCGGTAGGGGATATATTCTAGTAATAAAGAGACGTACGAAAACCCCCAAGACACTGCCTCGTACATTGTACTGCGGCTACCGATGGTGGCGACGATAGTTAGATATGTCTGTGAAATGTGCGTGACGGTGTTGGTGGTGATGATGGTGGTACGGGCTACAAGGCATTTCGCTATTGCTGGCTAGAAAACCACGGGCTGCTAAGGGTGGTTGAGCTAACCGCTACCAACCGAATAACCCAATTAACCAACTATTAACCACCAACGACGCACCCACCTCGCTGACCCGTACGGGTTTACCGTTGCAGGTGGTTGGTCGGCCTTTATGAGCCGCAAAGGTCCGGGTGACCCAGGCATGGGGCCCACCTGTATGTATGTATGATGTGTGGGACAGGGGGGTATATCTTCACCCGTGGCCGCTACCCTGCGAAACCCTGCCTTCCCCGGTATTTCGGGGCACCCTCATCCAGTCACCCTAGTCAACTTCTCAGTGGATCACTCAGGTTCCGCACCCACCACCGGCATCCAACGGGATCTGCCGGATCGACGGCAGCCCAACACCATTCCTGGTCAGCTCGCGAGTCAACTTTATCCCGGGTCACCATCGTCCATCGACTAGAGGCACTTTACCTTCCACCATTGGAAGAATTTTCGACCCTGACAGGTCTCGAGCCCCTCCCCCCTCTCCCTCCCCCCTCCCTCCCCCCTCTCCCTCCCCTCTCCCTCCCCCCTCCCTCCCCCCTCCCTCCCCCCCTTCTCCCCTTCTCCCCTCCCCCCCCCTC